GGGGATCTGTGCAAGGGGGCCCACCCCAAATAGACAACCAAATAAAAACACAGAAAAAATACTGTAGATTAGTCTATAATAACAATATACAATCACAAATCTGCAGTGCAAGAAAATATGAGGTACTTAGCTGAGGCAGCAGCAAAGAAAGAGGAGTGGCTTATGGTTTAAATTGAAGTATATGGAATGATGAACAATCCCATTGGTTGAATATGCTATATGGTTAACCCTTTAAGGGTATTTGTTTTTGTTTTCTATTATTATCTTAATATTCTTTCTGTGCTGCTGAGGAGTAAAGAAAGAGATAAAGCCTAATATGAGCCTCCGTGCCCTTAAAATTGGATATTGTATAATATATACAATACACAAGATCCAGCACACTCACTTATCACTTATCCACTAAACAGCAACTTCAATGTACACATTTTATTTTTTATTTTTTTTATATAAAACACCTAATCTAGGCAAAAATAATGGGGTTTAGTTACATTATATGATCAAACATTGCATAAGCCTGTCACAACGTCAATGTACCGCATCTTTGGCATGTTCTACTCTAACAGCCTAATGTCTGCTCTTATGAGATTAACCCACTTACTTACCCACTAAAATTCATCTGGGGCTCTCTGCAGTACAAGGCTAAATAGGGCCCTGGGATGAGGCACCTGTGACTAGATTAGGTGTTTTTGTTTTTAAAAAAACGAATAAAATCTGTCAACATTGAAGCTGCTGTTTAGTGGATGAGTGCGCTGGATCTTGTGTATTGTATACACCCCATTTATGCATTTTCAGGTGAGTGCAGCCCCCTGGTTTTGTATAATTATATATATATTATGCAAAAGTCATTTTTTTTTTTTTACTTCGGCGGCCATAAACATTATTGGTCATTGATATAGTCAGGAGGTACGAGAAAATACCAAATTTCCCTCTATTTCCTCAGTCTGAGGTGTCTGGGTGCAGGCCAAGTTATCTGGGTTAAGAATCGCACAGCGACCACATTTTGAGGGCAGGTTGTCTGATTTCTTTAAAGGACCTCTATCAGGTCAAAGCAGCCTAGCTCTACTTCAAGAAGGCCAAGTGTGTTTTCAATTTAGGCCCTCTGGGTGGATAACAATAGAAGTCAGAATGTGTCAAGGGAATACTGGATGTCCTGAGGGATGACTGGCTGGTTCCAACACTGCCAGGGCAGCAAGGGAAAAGGGCTTGATTTCTGGGTCAACTCTTCAGTTGCCAAATTCTGAAAACAACACCCAGGGAACCAGTTTTGCCCCATCCTTGCACCTGTAGTTGGTGTCTTGCAGTGGCCAAAGTCTTTAAGTAGCACCCAGGAGATTAGCTTTAGCCAGCCTTGCAGATATGAGTTGCAGCTACCCAGAGCTTACTGCCTGGTTTTCCCACCCAGCACTTGTGCTCCCCCCCCAGTAGGCAAATTCTAGAGACAGAACAGAGGAGTAGCCTAACCCCAGCCTTGTGGGTTTGGGTGGCAGGGATCAACGGCATGCTCTCCAGGTCTTCCTCCAGCAGCTAGTGTCCTCCAGTGATCAAATTTAAGAAACAGCTCTAGAACAAGCTTCACCCAACCCTTTTTGGAAGGGTGGCAGGTATTCAGGGCTCACTCTTAAGCTCTCTTCTCTCTAGAGGTGACACCACTCAAATGACAAGCCTAACCCCAGACATGCAGGGACCTGTGGTCAAAATCCAGAAACATCACCCAAGGGGCCTGTTTTACCTGGGCTTTTGTAGATGGGTGGCAAGGAATCAGGATTCACTCAACAGGTCATTCCCCTCACAGATTGCAGCCTCCTGGTGACCAAACTCTTGAAACAACACTCAGGAGACCAGCTTCACCTCAGCCTTGTGGGGATGAGTGGCAGCTACTCAGGTCATGTTCTCTGGATCTCCCACCTGGCACCCCTTTCCCCCCCTTTAGATGATCTCTGGAAACAGCACACAGAGGACTAGCCTAATCCCAGCCCTGTTGGGTCTCCTCTCACAGGTGGCATTACCAAGTGGCAAAAATGTGTAAACAGAACTTGTAGAGATGTTTAGAGGGGACTCAGGGCTTGATCCCCGGGTCTCCACTCCACAAGTGGAGCCCATCAACAGCCAAACCATGGAAACATCTCCAAGGGGACCAGCTGCACAATAGAGGCTGGGGCTAAGCAGAACCCAGCAAAGGTCTGCCCTCTCTTCGTTGGAGCCCTCCTGTTTACAAATTCTGGAAACAGCTTCCAAGGGAGCAGGTACACCTCAGCCTTGTGGAGTTGGGTGGCA